GGGGGGGGGAGGCCCGGCCACCAGGCGCTCGCATTCGAGCCCCAACCCCGGGCCTGGCTTCAGGGTGGGGCCCCGGCTGCGTCATGCTGGGCGACGTCACGGTCCTTGATTTTAATCTATTCATAAAGGGCATTCCTCTCCATATTCCCTTGTAAGTTTGAATCTTTTTCTAGCTGTTGGGCTCGGTTTTTGTGGCTTACATCATTTTTCTCCCTCATTATCTCTGTGTGTATGTTGTGCACCATGCATCAGGTGTTGATTGACTTGTCAAACACTGCCCAGTTGGACAACACTCCTCGCTGGCTGCCTCTGAAGGAGCAAAGTGAGAGCATTGAGCACAGCAGAGCCCACCATACTGCCCAAGGCCCACCAGGGTCTGGGTCAGGTCAGGGCCATGGCCAAGGCCAGGGTCATATGTTTGGTCCTGGAATGGGGCCTGGACATGGTATGGGGCAGGGTCAAGCACCAGGACAGGGAGATGGGAGTCATGATTCACCTAAAAACTCTGTAATCAAGAGCAGAAGCCATGGAATCTTCCCTGATCCAGCAAAAGGTAAACAATCTGTTTTTCACTTTATATCCATTCTCAGTTTTCATAATTTCCACCATTGTGTTTGTTCTATATACAGTTATTAATTATTCTGAATCATAACAGTGGTGCCATTATTTTTTGGCAGAATTCTATTCAAGACAAAGACTGTAATTTATAGGGTGGTCACTTAGTTGTCAGTGAATTAGTGGCTGCTTGCATAGAAAAATATGCTAAATATTCCATGACAGCTGTAATAACACTCCATGTGCTTGTCATGAACTGCTATGGACCAGAAACTATTAGATACACATAACAGCCTGTGGAATGTGAGTGTGGAACAGAGTGTCATAACCCTGCATTTCATCTTCCTTCAGACATGCAGATGATGCCACTGGAAAAGTCACACAGCAGCCCAGGCAGCTCCAAGTCTTCCTCTGATGGCCAACTGAGGTCCCACGGTCCTTCCCGAAGCCAAAGCAAGAGCAGCGTCACTCAGGCCCACCTTGAGGATGCTGGGATAGCCATTGCTGCTGCTGAGGCTGCCGTGCAACAGTCCCGCCTGCAACCAAGTAAATCCTGCCCCTACCCATGATACACTTCCTGTGATATGCTTACTTTTCTCCCATGCATGCAGGCTTTGTTGAGATCATTTGATGCTGCTGCTGTGTCTTAACCTCCTTAATATTTTTACATTTGCCTTTTGCGCTCCTCATCCTACTTGTTTCTCTAAGCACAAAGTATTTTGATTTGATTTGAGCAAGTTAGATTGATCTTAAAAATATAGTCACTGAACAAAATCTAAGGCATATGAAACAGGCAAATAACTGAGGTATATCTAAATCGAAAACCTAAACAAATATTAAATCTAAAATTAATGAATTAGTACATCTGGCACAATTAGTGCACTAAATATTCCAAATACAGTTTTTGGCAACATCCATCTGTTTAACATTTTTGCTGCCTATTTGCGTAGGACATAAAAGTGATATATTACAGTGAGTTATTAACACAGCAGAAGAGTTTAACAGCATATAACAAATCTAAGGAATACCTGATTGGTTTTAAAATTAGAGCCCCCAAACCCTTTTTCTATATGGAGTGTGCATGTGCCAATCCCATGCATATGGTTTATACAGAATCCCAGTGTGCAAATCTCCAACCCCAGTATTTAAACCAAGCTGGGATGGCAATTCCTCACATCTTGTATCATATTAACATGATTTAAACAATATCCATTCATGTTTATGCATAATGTTAAGTGTGATGTTATCAAAATAGAAAGCTATGTTGTCATCTCTTTCTGGAATTAATTAGCCCAATGTCAGAGCTATGTAAGCATGCAGTTGCAGCTTCCTTGGCTATCGTTCCTTGGCCACTGAGAATTTTGTGATGCTTCAGTCTGTCCATGTGTGTGTGCATGTGTGTGCTATATGAATGAACCTTAGAAAAGTCAAAAAACACACATACACACACATACACACAGATATGGCACACAGGCTCCCTACAAGTGTGAGTCAAACCAGGAAACAAAGAAAAACCAAGACGTTCAAAAGTCATCAGGAGGCTCACTCTGCACTCACCGGCCAATGAGAGTAGAGCGGCCAGCTAACCATGAGAGGAACAGAAGTGTCAAGGGAAGGTGAGGCAATTTAGGAAAAACGGACCAATAAAGATCATTAATCCTACTTTATTAACAGCAATGCACTAAATCTAAAATTTAAATAATAAATAAACTAAATCAAGTCTACCAACCAAACCAAATATTGAAACAATTTAAGTAACAAATTCAAATATTTTTCACTGAATCATTTTTATGTATCTAATTCTGGTATTACTTGACAGTGTGTATATGTGTTTATACACTGTCTTGTTGTTATTTTTGTTGTTGATTTAATTATGCTTTCATAACTGTAAAAGTAAAATTCCAAGCTACTGCCTTTGAGTCACAGATTGTAGTTCATCTAACTACATCCAGTCATTGTTTGAAGGTAAATATAGGCACTGGACACTGTGACCATGAACAAATGTATCCACCCTTAGTCTAGAAAGAAACACTTCACATATTCCCTGAACTAATCTCTCTGCTCTTTCATGCTGCATGAGGATTAGTACTCACAGCAACCAGGAGCCAAGAACAAGTAATTAAATTCATAAAAGAACATCAACAATGTTCCACATTAAATTTATTTTCATGGGTAAATTAAACTTAGTGACCTCCATTTATCTCTGGCGAAGAAATTTACTGTGCTGCAGTAACCAAGGTTACACACTGTACTGCAAAATGGGAGGACAAACTGTTGTCTGTACTGGTCTGTTCCTCCCATGATAAGGCTGTTACAGTGATGCTCAGTCAGATTTATGTGTGACAGACAGAGTCAGTGGAAGTGTGAAGTGTTTCACCATATCTGTCTAACATGCATGTATGTGTGGTAAAAGCCGTGATAGATAGATAGATAGATAGATAGATAGATAGAGTGTTGGTACCCTAATACCTCACTGAAAATTCTCCAATCTTGCTATACATATAAGAATACAAGAAGCATTATGCTGTTTGGTATCATGTGAGTTATGTGTGCACCACAAGGAGTAAGGACAAACAAAGGAAAGATGAGGGTTGTCTGACAATAGATAACAGAATAATTACTAGGTACGGTCAAGTTAAGGGCTACAAGACCATTTCAAAACAGGTTGCTGGTCCTTTGACCACAGTTCCTGACATTATTAAGAATTTTCATGCCCATGGGAGCCAACCTCTATTGGACAACAAGAGGATTTACCCCAGATTCAACAGTGGGACAGTTAGGTACAAGCTGACTTCTAATCAAGCTATAAGTTGCTTTCTGAATTTAAAGTGGAATCTATGGAAAACCCTACGTTTGAAAGAGAAACAAAAAATTCACTGGAGTTTGCTGTGATACATGTTGACAAGCCATGGTGCCTCTGGGAGAATGTCTGTTGGACAGATTAAACAAAATGAGAGCTTTTTGGTAAATCACATTAGCTCAGTGTTCAAAGAAGATAAAATGAAACTTTTAAAGAAATAACATCCTCAATGTGAAACCTGGAGGAGGCTCAGATATGTTGCAGGGTTGCTTTGCTGGGTCTTGTACACCAGGGCACAAGGAAATCATGAGGTTGCATGATATATATGAACAAAACCTACTACTACTACTACTACTATCAGAGAGCGCTATCACAGTCGCAGGTCATCACTCCATCATTTGACAACACTGAACTATTCTAAAATCCTGTTTTTAATCCAATTCGACATCTATACTGTAAATACAGCTGAAACTCAAGACAAGCTACAAAACGTTTCCCCATACCATTTTTATTTGCTGTAATATGTTACATCAAAAGTAATATGTTAATTCTATTAAATATGGAATAGAAGATAGTTTATGCCAGTTATTTACTCTAAGTGTAAGGGTACCAACACTTTTAGCCACATCTGTACATAAATTGTTACTCATAAATATTTCCTCACCATCACAGTTGTTCTTGCCACCTTTAGGACCTGGACACCGGCTGGGTGATGTCTCAGGGTCAGTAGTGCTGTCTGCCCCAAGTCTTGTGGGAGATGCCTATGGAGGTCTGGATGGGGAAGACGGAGCAGGCACTGGAGTGGACAGTGCTATTTTTCAAGTGCCACGCATGTAAGATCTATGGCTTGTTTTCAGCAAGACTTAGCATTACATCTTTGTTCAACATGTCTAGTAAAAAACAGCACTGGTATTTTTGTTTCTGTGTCACAGTGGAAAGGCTGTTCCCAATGGCAGTGACAAAAACCAACTTGGAACCCCAGAAAATGAAGGCAAGTTCCAGAAAAGTCCTCTGTTTGCAGTTCAAATCCTAAGGCTGTTAACAGTTGGTTGTAGGTCTCCACCTGCTGGGTATTTTGTATAATGACATTATTTATTCATTTATTTATTTACACAGTCACCTCTAAACTGTGTTTTCATAATACCACTGTTCAATAATGGAGTCAAATGTTGAGTTAAGTGCTGACTGTCAATTAATAGTATTTAGCCAGCATAATGAGTGGATGTGGGTGTCACTTTATTCTACTCGCTGTCATAACAACATCTACGTTTCATGTAGCTCAGGTGTCACGATGGCTAACTTCCATATCTAGTTTCAGTTTATAACAAAGAGCTCAAGGTCATTTAATGCTGTAGTAGCTGTCAGGGTGGATCAGATGAGGGTGAGCAGATCATTTCTAGCGCTTGATGATTCATTTAACACACTTTACCCTAAACACATAAGAGTTAATATGGCCCATGTGAAACTGCAGATATGTTCTTGGACTTGGTTTCATTCTGCTATTAGCCCAGATTAAATTATGCATAATCACTAAATAATTTAAATAAAATTTACTGACACTAGGAGTGCATGTGTTTCGTGAAACTGTAAGAATTGACCCCTAGTTACAGTCTGGGCAATCCAAATAAAGAAATATAAAGTCCCTAACTTTATTCCCACATCTCTCTTTCACTGTTGCTTTTAGGTGGTAAAACCCAAGTAATGGGGGAGATCAAAGTCGCTCTCAAAAAGGAGATGAAGACAGAAGGAGACCAACTGGTATTGGAAATCCTTCAATGCAGAAACATCACTTACAAGTTCAAAAGCCCAGACCACCTACCAGGTTTGTATACATGTACTGTATGACTGCAAATACACTCTGTGTTTGTCTGCGTGCACTTTTGATTTTAAGTGGTTTGCCTTTTCAATAATCCATATTTCTCATTCATTGAATTTGCCTTCAGACTTGTATGTGAAGTTGTATGTGGTGAATGTGGCCACTCAGAAGAGAATCATCAAGAAGAAGACCAGAGTCTGCCGACATGACAGGGAGCCTTCTTTCAATGAGACCTTCAGATTCCCTCTCAACCCGACTGGACACTCCATACAGGTACAACAGGCATGCAGCTGAGACAAGTTTGGACACACAAACACAAAGAATTTGGTTTTGTCAAGCACGACGTGCCAGGCAATATTGCTCCAGTTGTTTTGACATCTTTGTTTACTTTGTTGTGTGTGTTAAAATAACTGACTGGCCAAATATTAGCAGAAAATAAATTGTTTCAGTTCAGTTTACATCCAGCTTTTTTACCACTGACAGAAACAATCTTAAATCTTCAAAATGGACCATTACAGCTAATTAAACCTGGAGGCTTGTAATGTCTGACAAAACAGCTCTTAAAACTCATTATGGGAAGTTTTATGAAGGAGCCTGATGTCTTATGTAGCAGCTGGGAGACTGAATCACCTGCTGGTGGACTGCAGGAAAAGTATTTGTCTATAAAAGGACAAACAGTTGTAGTTTAATAAATAATTATAAATCAATGCCATACTTACAGAATTTATTTTCAGACAATAGTAAGTGGAAAATGAAAGGAAATATATAACACATATACAGTAAATACATTTATTTACAGCCTTGTTTGTAATGAAGGGCCATGAACATATGTTCATATTTCATCCTGATTAAAGTTTCTTCTTCTTCTTTTTTTTTAGATTGATTCTTGGGGTATTTTTGGCTGTCTTGGCTGCTTCTTAATAGTTTTGATTTTATCTTTATATACCACATGAAATATATATATTGACATGTGAATGCAGTATAATTTCCTTCAGCATAGCCTCATTTTTGTGACCTGGTAATTATCTGTAGGCTTTGACATACAGCATCAACAAGGGTGATCATTGCTACATCTCTCTCCAATGTATTTCCAGCTTTTCTTGGTGTCAAACGGGGGGAAGTTCATGAAGAAGACCCTGATAGGGGAAGCCTACATCTGGCTGGACAAGGTGGACATGAGGAAGAGAGTAGTCAGCTGGCACAAGCTTTTCGTCAGTTCCACCCAGACCAACCCCTGAGCACCACACCAAAAAGAAGTCACAGAAGATCAGGGAAAGGTGAAGCCACAGTGTGCTAGCAATTTGACAAAAAGATGAATAAGAGGAAAGAAATGTTCAAGGAGACGAAATGAAGATCTACTTAGTTTAACCTATTTAGTTTACTTCCTGAGTTTATAAGTTATAGCAAGGAGGTGATTATGTGCTAATACCATAAAAACTCATCAGTCCAACACTGCCAGCACATATGTCCACCGTCCACCTCTTCCCATGGCTCTGCTGCCATTGTGCCACTGGTAGCACTAAAAGAGACTCCACAGTAACTTTGAAAGTAGTGATGTCTTACTTAACGTAGTTTCAGTTTCATGATCCAACTGAGACAGTGTTTTGTTGCTGCTGAACTAACACGTCTGTCACAGGGGAATACGGAACATCAGAGGGAAAAATGAAAAAAGTAAAGTCTGACTTTGATTTCAGAATCAGCATCTAAATTAGCATTGTGTCTTCTTCACATGAGAGTCGTTGTAATGCCCATATAATGGTTGTGATGTGTGTGGCTGTCAGTAGTCTTGACATATTTGCTGATGAAGGAATGCATATTTTTTTGTATCGTAGTCAGTTTCATGTAAAAAAGGAAAACAAAGCCTTTATGTAGAACAGGGTCAGAAAGTTGACTTTTGCTATGGGGTGAAGCTAAAATGTACAGATTGTAAATATCACACCTGCCGATTACAGATCATATCAGAGAATCATACTGTACAGTGTGATGTTTATATAATATACAAAGATATCAGATTCAGAATATATCTAAATACAATATACATTCTCTTGTTGCTAGATTATATATGACAAGATATACAGATACACTGGTTTAGACTGAGACTGTGCGTGGTGCACTGACAATCTGGTAGGCTATTTTAGTCTGTAGGTAGGTGTAGTCTTAAGAACTGCTATGTGAATGTGACCTATGTGATCTCAAGGATGTTGCTCCACCACAAGACATTCAACAGGGCTGTGATAGGTTACTATTGTAAAGGTCAAGGTCAACATCCAGTGACATTTTGCTGTTTCACTGGCATGCAATGCAGTTGAGAATTCCAATAAAAAGAACAGCAGCTTGTGCTCTGAGGCCCAAAGCACATGCTGTGTTGAATGTTACAAGCCAGCTATAGAGTGACAATAGTCTGTCAGCTCTGTGTGATGTGAACAACCTTTTACTTTAAGGTTGATGTGGTATGCTAATATTTCTTTTGTGTAGTCCATTGTGTAATTGCACTTTTGGAACGGACATGTAATTCACACAAGTTGTGTCAAAACCACACGTAGATCTGCAACTGTCATCACGTCAGTATGACAGCTCTGCTTGTTGTGTATTAGTAAAGCCCCCTGGTCTGGGTTTCAGCAAAAAATAATTTCAAAATGAAGAAAATTTGTTCGTACAAGTCAAATGTCTAGGTTCCTTTGTGTGTCTGGCTGTGCTGTTTTGTGTCAGTGACCCCTGTTGCAACACAGTGAACCAGCCTTTTTCACTGCCTGTGACCAAAACAATCACTCAGTCTCACTGGGGTTCAGTCATATTTAGGTCAGAACAACACAATGGCCAAGTCTCAGTAATAATGTGTGAGCGGGTGACCCGTGTAATCATCTTGCAGTGTTTTGCTATCATATCTACATCATGGGAAAAAAATCAAGTGACCCTCAGATCTGCTGTCAATGTATTTAGGCATATCACAGAGCTGGTGCATTTTTTGGGGGTGGGACATTTTGCTGTGCCAACCTAGATTTCTTTCTTTTTTTTTTTTTTTACTGCAGACCCATTGGTTCTTTCTAAGTAATTCTATGCAACATACAGTAGATGTGTTTGAATGCATTTATTTTTTGGGAATTAAATGTTTTATCTTGTGAACATACTGTATGGTCTTAAAATATATCTTATAAAAAATACCTTTAATTTGTACATCGCTGAAAAAAAATAAATATATTGATTTTTTAAATTGACTTTAATATACATTGATGTTAACAACTGTTAACATCTACATGGAGCTTGCGCACTTTATTATTACATTGTGTATTTTCTTGTCTCATTTTAACTGTCATCACACACAAGATTATGTTTCGTGTTTCTGCACTGAAATGAACAGAATCATGGTGTATGTGGTGGCTGAAAATATTGTGGTGTGCATTTTGTAACTATGTGGCAAAAGACAAAAGAACACAAATGCACAATCTGGGGAGGAATCGCTCGTACTACATCTTTGCTTATAGCTTACTGAAGAGTCAGTGTACAAAGTAAAGTAAAAAAAGATACATTCAGTTACGACTGTTTAGCCACTTGTGTTTCATTAGGCTTCCTTCAAGCTAAAAACTATTTGGTCTGATCTGCTGTTGCCTGTAACTGTGGAACCATTCATTCGTTGTTGTTCTGAGGGGTGTGAATGTGACTCGAGTCCTTTGACATGTGTACATAAAGTGTTTATTTTCTACAAGACTGAATGTTTATATTGTCCAATGTCTGAGCATGTGAGTGTCAAAAAGAAAAAAAAATCACGTCTTATAATTGTACAGAAATGTGTGTCTATAGTTGTATATGGGGATTTGACTGTGTAATCAAAACGTGCTGTCAACCGAATGACTATCTGTACAACCACGTCCTGTAAACGGCCGAAACAACACAAAGGGGAAAAAATCTATTCAACTTCAATAGTTGTCTGAGACTTTATGTTCTGGATGTTGCATGTTTCATTGATGGTTTGTCAGTATATTTTGCCTACAGATTATGTTTAAAAAGAAACAGAGTATGTATAGATTTATCTGTATGCTGACTGTAAAGAAATATGCTTGTAAAATTGTCTTGTTTTTCACTCAGTGTAAAAACAAAGAATCTAATGTTATGGTTTTGTGGTTGTACACAGGATGTGTTGAGATATTATGCAAATTGTGCTGTAAAAAAATCAGCTGTTTCTCCTGAGTCTAAAGAATAAATATTAAGAAGAGCTATATTACATGTGCAGAGTGGAGCTCAGTTTGTTTTTTAATAATGAAACTGAATTTTGAAGAATGTTCAGTACATTACCGTTTTCTCTTCTTACATCAGGACCTAACCACGTTTTAGTGATAACACATGTTCAGACTTTTATAGCCTCTGAGCAGACATTTTGACTTGTCAACACAGGAAAGGCAACAAGTCAGGTGTCAGTTTGTCAAAGCATCTTTTTAATACTACCACCAGGTGGCGCCAACGCAATGCACACTGTGGTCTTAATTATGAAGTGTGCATTTACACAGCAAAAATAACCACCTTTAACACCATATTCCTTATTTCTTGCATACCTTAACCATCATTATTAATTAGGCCTGCTTAAGGGCAAGTGCATTTCATTTTGGGTCGTCTGCTCCTTGTGACCTTCTTGCTCTGTGTATAGTATTGTCATGAAGTTGACAATATGTGCCAACAGCTTTGAAAATGCACTGTGGGGCTTGAAAATATAGATGCTGCCAGTTTGTGGTGCTGAACATAAGATGGAATTATCACGCATATCACTGTAACTGTATAATCATCAGCAGCAGCATCATATCACCTCTTGGCTACGCAGTTTAGCTGAAAACACTAATCGTTCTGGGCCTTGCATACTTTAACTTTTTATTTTGCTAGTTTAGTTTAAAGACACTACCTCTATGAACGGTACTCTACAAGAGTACTACTTTTTAAATTAACTCTAACATAAGTGTGTTTCTGTATACTATATTCTGATGAACTTAAATATGACAAAATAAGTGTTAAACATAAAATTGCATACTAAGGATGCAAAAGGACATTGCATTGCAATAAAGATAAAAACAAACCCAAAGCTTCTTTCCTTGTATAGGTCAGCGAAAAAAATATTTTATTTAATAGAGACTGGAAATAAATGGAAATGAAATAGGAACAAAAACATTTTAGCACCAAAACTTAATAAAACGTGGGACTATGTGGATGAAAGGTAGGTGTTGCTGCTTTTTCATCAACAGCGCCTGTTGCTGCAGACCCTGCCACTCCGACTTGTATCTGAATCGTTACATTGTTGTTCCCACCCACCTGCCCGGATACTGTTTATTATCTCATCACCCTCATGGTACAGTGTACATACCAGCCCTGTTCCCACCACAGCCACAGCCAGACCTCTATCAGCACCTGTTTTTGTCTACCTGTTGCTCACCTGATTTATTTGCCTGCCTTTTACTGCTAACAAGTCTGTTTAGCATCTCACAATCTCTGTACAGTATATGTTAATTTGCATTCTGATACATGTGAAGTATTGATTTTCTGCTTGTAATACCTACATGGACTAATGGGCTATTAATGAGTGATCAGATATGAATATTCACTACATGAATATGTTCAACATAAAGCATGTGTCCAAGGATATGCACATATTTTATAAATATAGTTTGTTTATGATTAAAAATGCATGGAGTATATTATTGTAATTGTAACTGCACACTCCTCCAGGTGGCAGTGTTCTTTTTCAAATAACCCCATCTGTACAGTACAACTGATCTTTAAGCAGCGGTACATTTACTCATTATTATATTAACATCATTAGCAAAGATGTTCATGTCTGCAGGTGGTTCTGGAGAGAGGATTAACCTATTAGGCTGAGATTTAAAAGGGAATTATTTGCTTATTCATTTTGGACGTAATGATATATTTTAAAAATAGTTATGAATATAGCATTTGATTACTAATCCTATTCATAGCTGTGACTCTGTAGAAAATTATATTAAAAAATCGCAGCATTCAAGCTTTACAGTCAGGGCCTGTCTGAGAGGTACCATTAGTTTTGTTCTGGTTATTTACTAACACCCATTTGGTAGACTATGAGAGGAGAGGTGTAGTGGCCAAATACTAGTCTGACACCTCTTTCATTTCAGGATGTATAGTGAGATGTTCAATAATAAAAATAATAATAATAATCACTAAATGCTATGTCTGCAGAGGGTGGCTCCACCTCTCCATCCTCTCCACACTGCTCTTTGCTATTAATTCCATGCCACCTCTCCAGTTCCCACTAGTCCCTTACTTTTTTCCATCCCATCAGCAGGTGCAGTTGTTCCTCCGCTGGAAGAAATGAGTGAGAGAAAGGTGTAGTGAGAGAAAATATGGACAGGGAGTAAAGGGATGGGGATAGAGGAGAAACCAAGGGGGGAAGAGCAACAATGCGGTACAGTCAGAGCAGAGGAAGAGGTGACGATGGAGAAGACAAAAAGAAAAGGGGGGTGAGAGGACATGGGAGATGGTGTGTGGTTGCCAAGCAACAGTTGATAACCAAATCCCCAAGTATCCTGCTTGTGCTGCCCTGCCCTCCCTCCAGGTCAGAATCTCTCACACACACACACACACACACACACAGTAGGTTTATGTTGTTGCTTTAATACTCAAATATTCAGTCAAAGTGTTCTAATAAAATGATGACAGAAAGAACAATTCTACGTATATACTGCAGTGCTGCAGGAGCTTGTATATATTCTATAATTTACTCACGTTAGGATGCGCAGGACATAATCACAAATTCAGTCTTATAAAACAGACATGATTTATGAGATTTACTGGGCTTTTACTGTAATTTGCTGATAGGAATTTACACCATATGTGTGAAATCAGTCGATCTGTCTGTCTGACAGGGATTCCCATGTGGGACAGTCTCTCCGCTCGCTGCCACTCATGCTACCAGGAGGATAGAGAGTGACTGTCTAAATTATACCATCCCTCTCGGTTGTAGGCACTGAGAGGCTACTGGGAATTTTAAAGAGCAAAACCTGTAAACCTGTACATTATTCAGCAAGCCTGCACTTTGCTGTACCTGTAGCCAAGCCTTCCTTTTAGCAGGTGTTTTCTTATTGGAAGGTTAAAAAAATGTTGCTTCCACTTTGAGCGCTGTACACCCCCAATTGAAGCAATATCAATACTACTACTACTAATAATAATAATCATAATGATTTTAAGACCAAACACATTCTGTTGAAATTTGAATGTTTCATTACATTTTGCGACACTATCCATAATAGAACTTATAATGTACAAAACCAGGAATAATCTAAATTGCATTAGATCAAATCATGTTAGATGATGATGTTAGAAAGAAAAGCAGGGTAGACGAGATCAGGGTTAGTCAGTCCGTGAGCGAGCCACAGCCTCTCTGTCACTCACGCTGTTTGTGCACACCGCTCCCATGCGTCGGCGGCGAAGGTTAGCGGAGCACATAAGGTGTTGACGCTGGTCGGGGATTTCCCCCCTCCCTTTTTTTTCTGTTACAATGGATACCTACAGGGTACGAGCATGGGTGTTTCTAATGTTGTTATGGCAGGACAGCTCTTTCGCATCGCAGTTTCCGACACAGCTCATGTAAGTATCTTTTATAGTATCCTTTTTTTCGAACAGTAAATGTTTGGGTCTGCAGACGCCTTGGATCAAGTGCTCATTGTCAAGAGACAAGTGTTACATTTAATGAGCCACTACTGTACGTGCGCGCTTGGGGGTGTAAAGCGGGCAGGTCGATCCATCCTCGCACCGCTGGTCATCTTGGATAAGATCACGTTTGACAGCAGACTAATAGCTCAGCTTTCCTCTCTGGCTGCTTGACTCCCAAGAGGTGATTGGTTACCATAATCAGCAGGTTATCGCCGGTGGATGACTGTGGCCACCGTGCACCGTGACAGCTCCAAGATGAAGTTGTTGAGTAGTTACGGTGGCTCCGCCAGATTATGTTCCTTTATGTGACAGGACAAAAGTTGCATTCTTCACCCGAACCCCTAATTCAGAGCCACCTTGCAATATTATAGGGCCAACCAGCAATTTTTGACCATATCAATTTCAGGCACATACAATTTATTCCATTTGTTTTAATCACGTGTTTTGATGTTTGGTGGGGACCTTTATTTGCATTATTTAAATAAAGATCCCAACCCGATCAAATTAAATTAATGCAGGTGACTGCAAATAAATATACTTTATTATTGTTATTATTATGTAGCCTATGTCATCAGAACATCTCCAAAATGGCAGCATAGTGCACAACCTTCAGTTTGGAAGAAACTTAGGTCTGCATCCCACCAGAAATTCATGTCTTTGATTTACATGAATTAAATGTTTGGCCACCAGACCATACCAGAATGATAGGACCTGTCAAACATTTCTAAGATTTGGTTCGCCATTTATAGTCCACCATTTATTCATACTAAGTGTTGACTAAATAATATAAATGCTTCTCTACAGTAGTTCTGCAACACCAACAGAATGAAATTACATTAGAGCTGGCTGCTGGCTGCACATCCCAAAGTTACGAGTCACCAGTTCATGCCAAAAACCTACTGCTGCAGATCAGACTGCTGTAGCAGAAAGCAATGTTTTTGATATGCACACAGTTAGTGACAGCAAAAACACCTGCATTTGTGCATCTTAATGCTGAAAGCACTGAGAACTATTTCACGGCTGAAAGCCACATCGGCTAAATCTGCAAGATGTTCAGTCTGAAATTGTGAATGTGAGGGAGTAAGTGCATACTTTCCAGTCAGATCCATTAGCTTTATTTACAAAATGCTTCCATCTTTTTGCAGGTTCACAGGGTATAAGAAAACTGATTATTTCTCTCATCCAAATCATCCATGTCCAGTGTCATTTTTTGTAAAGGTCGTAGCATGAGGTTCTCAATTTATTGAATACTTGCACGTTACATTGTAAGCAGGCAGCCTACTTTGGGTTTGCTATGGTGATCATTCTCCATCATCATCTTTATAATTCAATGGCCTCTCTTCTTTCAAATGTTGCTTTTCAGTTTTTGTTAGAAGTAGAGGAGGCTGAGGACGGCTTCTTCTTTGCAATAGAAAATTTACAGCCTGGATAATCTACCAAATACTGTAGTTCTTCTTCTTCATCACTGTTGCAGTGAAGAAAAAAAGAGAACCCTTCTTGCCTAACACATTTCCCTGTGCATGTAATAAACAGTAAATATAAATCAGCTGCTTTTATGTTTCTTTATGATCCTAATTATCTCTGTTGTTCCAATAACTACTCAGGAGACTAAACATTTTGCACTAACTTAGAAGTCCCCTGAGCAATGTTTCACAGTGAATTAAAACAAAAATGGGACAAAAGCTTTCTTGAAAGTAAGATGTGTGATGCAAAATCCTCCCTGGCAGTTGTAGTAGCTGGGCCAGGCTGAAGAAGGACTGAATTAGCCACTTGGGTGTTAATTTATAGGGTACAGAGCATTTGTAGAGTGCCACAGGTTGTTTTGGTGCATTACGGTTGGTGTTTCCATGCTTCAGTCCACTTTGCTATCTGGACTGTACTGCTTCTGTTTATATCTATGTAATGATGTGTAATTAGGCTGTTGTTTAACGCAGCTGCCCACTGAGAGGCACACTCTGGGCCAGCTCTTTACTCACTCTACTTCCAAAGACAGAGTACCACAACATCTGTCTCTCTCTTTCTTATATTGTCTCTCAGCCCCTCTTTCTGTTTTGCTCTCATTTGCACTTCCTGTATTTGAAAAAAAAGTAGGGCAGTGTCTGACCCAGTTGCCATTAGAATGTGCATTTGTGTGTGTTTAATTATCCAGTGTTGTACCAGAGGCTGCAGTAATCAAAGACCAGCAACCAGAGCAGAAAATTTTGCTTCATCAGCTAAATAACATGATAATATCACTGATGAGGCATTTCTGAATTACTATGTAAGTGTGTAATAGTGTGGCAGATGACAAGATAACAAGGACAATGCTTTACCTATTTTCTATGTGTATAGGAATCAAAATGACATACATTTGTCTCAATTGCAGGAGATGATCTGAATTTACAAACATGTAGATTAACCAAAGGGGTCTGGGAGCATGCCTCACCTAGAATTAATGTGCAGGGATTTTCCTTGTCTATAATACATTTGGTCTTTTAACACCTATTTAACAAGCAGATATGACAGTGAATATTCATATAAAGCAAGGGGGTTTAATAGCTCTGGGGGATATCCTATATTTGATGGTGTTTTGTTGTGTATTATGAACACTTTACTGCCAATACTTCTTTGTCTGCACATTGCAGTGTTTGGTATTTACAGCACACACACACAAAACGCAAATACACACTGGGATAGAAAGTCTGTTATTCACATCCATGTACATTCCTGTTATCTCAACTGGACATCCAGCAGAACACATGCACATATTGTGCATCATAGCCTGGGTTGTCTGATCCATTTGTCAGCACATCCATTTGTTAAGGAGATTTACACTGCTAGCAGTAGATTTCAGAAACCAAACTCTGGAGAGAAGCGCTCTGAATATCAAGTCCTAGGAAACACACACACCGATCCTTGCGGTCATCACCTACTGTATATGGTCCGTAATAGGCTTACATTCATTTTCAGTAAACGTAATCTAACTTTAACAAAAGGCAACACTTGCTCTGACCTTACACCCCATCATTTTCATAAAATTTGATAAATCGGTAGTGGGACCCAGCCTCTGGTTCCCACAAAGCAGTGTGCTCCCAGTGTTATATAATGTACTGGCTGGGTTGCTCTGAAATGTGCGCTGAATGTACAACTACAGAACAGTACTTGTATCTTCATCGGAATAACAGAAGACCATAGGTTAATAGACTAAGCATGAGGCCCATATACTGTACTGTATCAATATGACATATCAAAAAAACATAAACAGAAGTTTAAGTATGAGCAGTTTTCCAGTGTAACTACTAGTGTACAGTACCAGGAAGACTGACACATGAAGGTGAGTGAAAAAAGAATATTGAATCACTTCATAAAACAAACTCACCACAAGGTCTGTTGACTAGCTTTTCTGTAGCTTTTGATCACATCACATAATTTTCACCATGTGGGAGAATATTAGGGTCACATGAATGGTGTTGTTTGGAAAAATGCTTAACCACCCTCCGGAGGGTCTGTTGTTATATTGCCCAGAAGAATGTTTTGATGGTGGTTTTTGTGCTGCGGGGTCTACAGGAAATCTACAGTAATGGTTTTTTTTGCCTGACATGGTCCGGTGTGACAACCAAGTATAAGATAACAATCGTGACTGACACGTTTTTCTCTTTGATGTTTTAATATTCTCCCACAACCAGCAGATAGAATTTGCCGCGAAGGGCTCCCATTAGTTCAGTGGTCATTTCTGCCATTTTAAAGGAGTGAGCCAGTGATTTAGTATTAACTTTTCTAAGAGATGGGACTTGCCAGAAAGAGAATGGTCAAAATTGGAGCAGCAGAGGTGAAAATAGCCCAGTGAGTTTTACTTGCTAAATTTGGTTCGAGCTACACAATTTCTCACTCTTATGCAACTCAATAGTTTTTTAAACTCCGTGCTTCATTGTGTTACACAGTAAATGGCCTTATATAGCGCTTTCCTACACAATGAAGCACATTTAAAGTGTTTTACATTATTTCTCATTCACTCATTTGCACACACATTGATGATATCACCGGGAGCAACTAGCTCAGTGTCTTGTACAAGGACACTTCGAGGTATAGACTGGAGGGAATTGACCTGCCAACCCTCTGGTTAGGAGATGACCCGTTCTACCTCCGAAGCCACAGCGGTCCCCAACGTGAAACAGACTTTCTGTTAAAACTTTGCAAACTCCAAGCCTGACTGAGATAACCCTGGTGTGTGGTTGGCCGATATTAGCTTGTCACTAGTATTTAAATATTGGCATATATGTTGGCTGAGAAGTAACACAAAACTAAAATAGTATTAATTGTGAAACAATAACTTAAGGAATAGTTTCTATAATTTAGACCTTGACAACTAAATATAAATGTAAAGAATTGAATATTGGGCAACAACTGCTGCATTTTTCAAATTGTCAGATATCAATATTGTTCTCCATTTGTTGTTTCTCTATTGCTGTTTCTTAAAAGTTTCAGACCTGGTTTTAAAGGTTGTGAATCACCTGGTTGCCAGTTTCTGGTCAGCATTCCTGGTCGCTTGGCATCGTGTGGTGGCTAAGAGACTGCAGATGACTGACGATGAATACCCAAACACTACCATTTGGTGGCTCTAACCAACCATTCCATACAATAGATGGATATCTATGCTAGTTTTCCTTCACAGAGCTCTGCCAAGCCTTAGTCTGCACTATTGTTCACAACCCCTAAACTATTTGGCTTTGGGATAGCGGCTGAATTATGGCTGATCATACTCTTATATCTCCACCTACTATCTCTTTTCTGAAAATGTTTCACACTGTGCTTTCCCCTCTGGTATTCTCTTGCTTGCAAAGTGTCTCATGTTTCTCCACGCTCGTCTCTCTTTCTCAAAATTTTTTTGATCAACTGTAGATTTCTTAAAAATCATAACGTATATTTATTATTTCTTCTTGATCTCCTGTAATTTTCTCTATATGTTTGCATCTTATCACCTGCCTGAGCTGTATTGGGTGTGAGAGTAGAGTAGATGGTTTGCACACATACTGTAACTTGTATGACATTCATTACACTGGAATACTTTCTGGGTATGCATATGTGTTTGTTTATTCCAGTGTGAGTATAAGATGTCTCTTTACTATTGGGGTGGATCACAACTGAGTGTGTTACAGTGAATGCATGGCAATGAGAGCATCTGTATCCCATGCCAACCTATTATCATTCTCATGCAATATTAATGCCACTGTCTTATTGTCCGTGTGTGTGTGCATGCATGGCAGCCTATATTGTGAATTGCAGCTAGATGTATTTTGTATAGTATTTTGTTCCTGGATGCCTCTCAAACCAGGTTTGCCTTTAAAATCAAATTATTCCAAGAAGTCACCAAGTTGATTATGCATAATGTCCTATGTCTGTGTCATGCTCTTCTCAAATGTATCCATGGCCACTGTGTTCAGGAGGCATGGAGTGATATACTGTGTCAGTATATTATAATGAATGCTGTGAGTTTATTGTGCTTTGACAAGATGAATGGATCTGGATGAAAGGAAGGTATAATCCAGTGTGTGGCAGGAGCAGGTTGGACCTGATGTCTCCATAGCCTTTGAAATACAGAGAAGCACATCAGTCTTGGTCACCTCCTACCCCTTGCCTGTCCGCTTACATCACTGTCACCAGTCACAACACTGGTTGACACTTATCTGATTGGTTGACTTCATTTTTGAACTCTCTGAAAGTAATCGTTATTAGTTGACACCCAGTGACACATGTTTGATTAGATGGCATTGTATTTGTTCACTGTGACTTGAGTTTGATTGGTTGACATTTTGCTTGACCTATCAGAGTGATTCTTTTTGGCCTTGTTTGTTCTGATGCTGTGTGACCAAATGGTCTTGTTAAGTGATAGATCTAGAAGAAATCTTCCGACAGTTTAATTGCATTGTCAACTGTCTGTGATGTCTCTTCTAAACTGGTTACATCTGAGTTACAAGATTGGTTGTGTCCCATAGGATTAAAGAATGGGTTGATCAGATGCAGAAAGAACTCGTCACCCTGGCAGACACGGCCGCAGCTGGGAAGAGCCTCACTCAGGTATAAACACCCAAATGCTACTGTACATAAAGAGCACATTACCCACACGTACAGTATACAGTGCCTTGCGAAAGTATTCGGCCCCCTTGAACTTTGCAACCTTTTGCCACATTTCAGGCTTCAAACATAAAGATATAAAACTGTAATTTTATGTGAAGAATCAACAACAAGTGGGACACAATCATGAAGTGGAACGAAATTTATTGGATATGTCAAACTTTTTTAACAAATAAAAAACTGAAAAATTGGGCGTGCAAAATTATTCAACCCCCTTAAGTTAATACGTTGTAGCGCCACCTTTTGCTGCGATTACAGCTGTAAATCGCTTGGGGTATGTCTCTATCAGTTTTGCACATCGAGAGACTGAAATTTTTGCCCATGCCTCCTTGCAAAACAGCTCGAGCTCAGTGAGGTTGGATGGAGAGCAGAGCATCATGAAGAACAAGGAACACACCAGGCAGGTCCGAGATACTGTTGTGGAGAAGTTTAAAGCTGGATTTGGATACAAAAAGATTTTCCAAGCTTTAAACATCCCAAGGAGCACTGTGCAAGTGATAATATTGAAATGGAAGGAGTATCAGACCACTGCAAATCTACCAAGACCTGGCCGTCCCTCTAAACTTTCAGCTCATACAAGGAGAAGACTGATCAGAGATGCAGCCAAGAGGCCCATGATCACTCTGGATGAACTGCAGAGATCTACAGCTGAGGTGGGAGACTCTGTCCATAGGACAACAATCAGTCGTATACTGCACAAATCTGGCCTTTATGGAAGAGTGGCAAGAAGAAAGCCATTTCTTAAAGATATCCATAAAAAGTGTCGTTTAAAGTTTGCCACAAGCCACCTGGGAGACACACCAAACATGTGGAAGAAGGTGCTCTGGTCAGATGAAACCAAAATCGAACTTTTTGGCAACAATGCAAAACGTTATGTTTGGCGTAAAAGCAACACAGCTCATCACCCTGAACACACCATCCCCATTGTCAAACATGGTGGTGGCAGCATCATGGTTTGGGGCTGCTTTTCTTCAGCAGGGGCAGGGAAGATGGTTAAAATTGATGGGAAGATGGATGGAGCCAAATACAGGACCATTCTGGAAGGAAACCTGATGGAGTCTGCAACAGACCTGAGACTGGGACGGAGATTTGTCTTCCAACAAGACAATGATCCAAAACATAAAGCAAAATCTACAATGGAATGGTTCACAAATAAACATATCCAGGTGTTAGAATGGCCAAGTCAAAGTCCAGACCTGAATCCAATCGAGAATCTGTGGAAAGAACTGAAAACTGCTGTTCACAAATGCTCTCCATCCAACCTCACTGAGCTCGAGCTGTTTTGCAAGGAGGCATGGGCAAAAATTTCAGTCTCTCGATGTGCAAAACTGATAGAGACATACCCCAAGCGATTTACAGCTGTAATCGCAGCAAAAGGTGGCGCTACAACGTATTAACTTAAGGGGGTTGAATAATTTTGCACGCCCAATTTTTCAGTTTTTTATTTGTTAAAAAAGTTTGACATATCCAATAAATTTCGTTCCACTTCATGATTGTGTCCCACTTGTTGTTGATTCTTCACAAAAAATTACAGTTTTATATCTTTATGTTTGAAGCCTGAAATGTGGCAAAAGGTCGCAAAGTTCAAGGGGGCCGAATACTTTCGCAAGGCACTGTATCAATGCACCAAGGAATTTGTACTGCTCCTTGTGCAAGTCATTGAGTTACATAATTCCTTTGAATGATATAGCTTCTAAATTTAATTTACTTTATTATCAGCGACAGTCTGACATCAAGATGTTTAATTACATGTGCAAATGTATACAAACTCTGCTCTCCTCGTCTGTTAAGATTTTCCTGAGAAACCAACACCTGTACACTGTGGAGCAAAATGATGCAGAGGAGCTGGTGACCAGAGCAGCCAGGAACATTGAACAGCTACTGCGGAAAAGGTCGGCTGCCTTGGAGGTAGGACTTCCCCCTGCTCGGAGTAACCAGGACAAAATCTTTATTAACAAGGTCTATGGCAGAGAGATGTTTTCTTGTTGAAGACTTAAAAAGGGATATTCAGTAACCAAAGTCTTTGTGGTGGAAAGACATGCTGGCATTTGTGGCATTAATCGTGCAAATTTAATAAAGGTAGTAGGTGCATCTGAATACCTACAGTACCTGTTGTTCTTGGCAGTTTCACCTCAAAAAAAAAAAAAGAATGAATTTGACACAACCCACAATACTGAAGCTATTCGAAACATTTCAATGATCTTCTGGCAGTAGGTTCTATGGTTCTTCTCCATACCTAAATATTTCCTCTGAGGGAATATCATTTAGGCACTGTATTAGTTGAAATCAGTCAACAATCTTCTGCAGGCCTTCACAAGCTACTACAGTATCTGAATGATGTGTACTATTTGCAAAGCTGAGATCATTTTGTAACAGCCCAATAATATTTCAGTAAAGAGGTGATATTCAGCCAAGTGCGAAGCATGCAAACAAACACTGATCCGCAGGATTCAATGTGACATTCAGGGCTTTGGGACAGTGCCTCCTACTTTCCTTTTTTTAATTCTCAGAAGTGCATCAGAGATGATCATCTGTATCAGAGGTTTGAACTGCTTTTTACACACTCTAAAGTTCACACCACCCCTAAATGTGCCTTTATATGGCCTCACCATTGTTGTCTTATTAGTAATGGAGAGGGAGTATTTATGAATGCTCATAAACACATGTCCTGCTAAGTGTCTGTCTTGTGTATGTTAAGTAAACGCCCTGGTGTTCTTGTCATTTTTTTCAAGTACTGGTGCCGTAAGATGCATAAACAACAAGAAGAAAATGACCTCAGTGCATTGTCCATGTGACAGAAGGAGAGACGTGGTTGGGGCGATGAGGTCCATTAGAGTGTGTGTGTGTGTGTGTTTATATATGTGTTAAGTGTAGGTGGTGGTGGTGGTGGGGTGGGGG